AAGTTAATGGTGGTACACAAATAGTAAAAGTGAACCATATAGCTATTAACATTGTTCCAAAAAGATAAAAAGATGCCAATTGGGTGCACATAATCGACCTTGGTTATTGTTCACAGTTTTGGTTTGTAACTTTATGGTCAGGTTTTGTATAAATAAATAAAGGAATTATGTAATTACAAATTATTTATTTTTAAATTAATAAAAAAATTAGCGACGGAAAATCCGTGGCTAAAAGTTTCTGGTCCCTCGTTAATCCGTCGCTGAAAGTCTCTCGCTAATCCGTTGCTGAAAGATTTCGTCGCTAATCCGTCGCCGAAAATATCCCTCGCTAATTCGTCTCTGAAAATATCCCTCGCTAATTCGTCGTTGAAAGTTTCTTTCGTTGATCCGTCCCTGATAACATTACCTACGAGTTTTTGACCGTTTCGTTTCCTGATGAAAAATATATTTAAATACCAATAAAGTTAACTCTACAATTTATTTGTTAGTCTAATAAAGTTAATGGTGGTACACAAATAGTGAAAGTGAACCATATAATTATTATTATTGTTCCAAAAAGATAGAAAGATGCCAATTGGGTACACATAATCGACCTTGGTGGATGTGAACAAAGATCTCATTTTATGACAATTTGAAAAATAGTCATAATATCCAAATCCAAATTCCTTTTTGATATATTTACTACCTCTAAGGACATTGTATTATATAGATTACTCCTATTTATAAATGAAATTGGACCGTTAAACAGCGGACCTCAAACAGGGTCACAAAAAATATGAGACCCAATTTTATATTTTTTTAAGGTCCTGATATATAAATTATATAGTCCAAAATCCTAAATCTACGCTCAATTTTGAGATTCATATTGGTTCAGTGGTGCTGTTGCTCTATATGAACCATTGAGTCTGCACCACCACCAGCCGGGAGAAGATGAAGATCTTGTATGTGACTTTTTTAGTAGTTGTTGATGTTGATAACTTGGATCTTGTTGATTAAAAGAAAATATAAATCTCAAAAAGGATCGGGACCCATATTTGGTATTCTTTTATAATTTATCTTTTTGGGTACTATTTTTGTCGTGTAATTTGTAACAGAGTCATCAAAAAGATTAGAACGGCCGTGGGTTCTTAACTCGGAGACCAAAATAGCATATTATAAGTGATGTCTGATGATAACATTTTATTTATCTCAACTTTTTTTTAAATCATAATAATCTCGAATTTAAAGGTAAAAACTAAGAAATTTAGTACAGGAAATTCGAACTTGCGCTTGGATGGAAAGAAAACCATGAAAGCCTACTGTATCAAGTTTTTTTTGTAGTTTCAAGGTATGTGAGGACGATCAACGAAATGATACAGTAGGACCATGAAGTGGTGGTCCGTGTCACCGTATTGCCGTTAAGTAGGTCCACCTTTAGGGTTTTCAAAGAGAAGTACAATGTACACATTGCTATTTCTTTGATTTAGAGGTAATTCTGCTATAGATAATGAACTAACTATGTGAATAACATTAAAAGAGGTGATTAATAATTAACAACTAAACTAGACACTACCAAAAAACCCACTGGCGGCCAAATCCGCCGGAAATCCGCCGGAAATTAAAGGGTAAAAAATGACTATGATATCAAATTTAAAATTCTAAACAATTAAATGGTAGCAGAAATCTGATAATACTTAAGAATGAGAAAGAACAATAAGGACAAATGTAAATTGAAAGAGATACAATACTTAACACACTAACACAAACGACATCTTTGATAAACTCGAAATTCCACCACCAAAATCTTAGGTCCCGTTTGATTTGAAGAAATGGAATGGAATGGAATTGGAGGGATTTGCATTTCAAATACATTCCAATCTCATTTTAGTTTGTTGGATTGTCCGGATTTGAAATCCTATGATTTAGTTGAAATCCTTTAAACATAGAATTTTGAAATCCTTAGGGAGTGCTCGTGATTTCACGGGATTTCGTAGGATTGTATGCACTAAGGTTTTAGTAAATGTCAAAAATATTTGTTTTTATAATAATCGGTTAATAAAAATGTAATTCAATTATTTTTATAATTATTTATAATTTTTTCTATAAATTATTTATAAATAATGAAATCCAATTTCATTCTAAATCCTACAAACATCAATGATTTCAAATCCATTCCAATCCAAATCCAAATCCAAATCCCTTCATGAAATTTAAATCCCTAAAAAACAATCCTACAAATCAAACGGAACCTTATTAAATTAGAGAATTACAACCCAAATATTAAGAACAAAACCTAAGATTTAAAAAAAAAGGCTGCGAGAAACTAGCCTAGAGRGGGGGGGGGGGGGGGGGGGGGGGGCTAAAAGAACTAATCCATTCACTAAGCCCTTGTTATAGACTAAGCGTGATACTCATACTAGGTCTCTAGGCATTAGGTTTTCTAGCGATTTAGATTGATTGTATTCATTTTAGTTGATTTCAAATTTCAGAACTTATACACTTAGTTTATGATGTATCGATATTGTGATTGGGATCTTAATATATGCTTGGAGCAGCTACTATCATTCAGTGTATTATTAATTTTCTACTTTGGGTGTTCATTAACTTCCTTGAACGATTAGTTCAAAAAAAATTCACAGTCGGTCGTTCTCCACTGGAAGGGAGTAGTGAACTAAGGCTGATATGGACTGTTAGTTGATTATCTATAAAAGAAGGATATAACATAGAGATGTAACTATACACTCACATGTACTTGATAAAGATCAAGTGTTGGAACGACCCATACTTAGAGATTGCTTCATGGATCGTGTCATAAGCAATTCTAAGATGGTAATATCTACTATCCTTGAGTAGAGATACATGAGATTCTTGATACAAAGTATGTTATGCTTTGATGTTTTTTCAACGTTGTCCGTAACAGGCGACTATAAAGGGAACCATTAGGCATAGCCTAACTAGTGAGTAAGAGATCTATGTAGTCAATACTACTTGTTCCTTTTATTTTGTAATAAAAGCGATATCCATGAGCCCCTCGATGATTTAGTGCTGACGTTGAATGCATGCATACTCATACTGGATTTATGATTGGATCAATCTTCCAGTCTGTCTTTGGGTCACCACAAAAAAAATCTTTACCGAGAAACATAATGATGAACGCTTCGCAGATTGGCCATGTTCCATGTCTCACATTCACACGGATATCTGTAACAAAGGATATTTGATTGCTTACCTATAGGACTGCTTAATGCAGAAATTGAGTCTTGGATGACATACCTCATGCTCACATAGGGACGATGTTGTATTGCAAAATACCGACCATGGTCGATATTACTATTCAATTGTTGTGACATGTGCAAGTGGGAGTTTGTTGGAGATATGTCTAGTAACACAATAAAATAGTAATAGCCTAAAGATGCATGTTCCTATTGGGTTGCACACAAAGTCATGTAAAAACGAAAAATAATTTTAGAGGGTTAACAAATAAGTAATTAGAAGTGTTTTAATTAATTTGGAATTACTAGAGGGACTAACTAGTAATTAGTCCATACTTGTTATTAGATAAAATCTAATAAGTTTAGATAATCATTGGAGATAATTATTAAACTTATTATATTTTATTTAAATAGGATGTTAATCCCCTTATTAGTTAACTAATTAGGTAACCCTAAAATTATTTATTAAAGAGATCCATCTCCCTTTCTCTTGTTTTTGGCGGCCATCGAAACAACCAAAAAAGAGGTTGTTTTTTTTTGGTTTTCCCTTGTTTTGACAACACACAAAGCTATTCAATTGTGTTTTTTTCTTGGTGATCGCAAAAAGGAGTGGTTTTGATGTCTACATGACTAGATTTTTGGGTGCGCTACTGATAGAGAGTTTCCTGTTATTAAATTCTTTTCAAGTCATTAAAAGGTCTTTCTAACTCTCTCTTGTATTTTTCTTGTTACTTTTGATTGTAACCTGATCCGGGCCGTCCCTGGGGAGGGCGGCACGGGTGCACGTCCTGGGCCCAAAAATATCAAGGGCCTAAAATTTTTCCTTAAAATATATAGTAGTCTAAAATAATTTAATAAAGGGAAAAGTACAATAAAAATCAATGAACTTTCTTGTTTGGAATGATTAAGTCCTTGAACTTTTTTTTGGAACAAATAAGTCCTTGAACTTTACAAAACATGTTAAATAAGTCCTTGGACAATTTTTTGGCACAAATAAGTCCTTGGACATTCTAAAATATGTTAAATAAGTCCTTAGACATTTCAAAAAATGTTAAATAAGTCCTTGGACATTCTAAAATATGTTAAATAAGTCCTTAGACATTCCAAAAAATGTTAAATAAGTCCTTGGACAATTTTTGGAACAAATAAGTCCTTGGACATTCCAAAAAATGTTAAATAACTCCTTGGACAATTTTTGGAACAAATAAGTCCTTGAACAATTTAAAACATGTTAAATAACTTTTTTGAACTTTTATAAAACATGTTGGATACATTCTTATGACTTGTACAACTAGTTAAAATGGTAATTATTTTTTTGTAAATGTAAGTACYTTTTTGTTATATTTGTTTAATTGTATAGATCTAAATACTTTTTGGTTCAAAAAATATTTAAGGGCTTAATCGTTCAAAATATGAATGTTCATTGGGTTTTTTCGGGATTTTTTTCACTATTTTACCACTTTATTTTTTTCAAAAAGTTATTTAACATGTTTTGGATTGTTCAAGGATTTATTTGTTTCAAAAATTGTCCAAGGACTTATTTAACATTTTTTGGAATGTCCAAGGACTTATTTGTTTCAAAAATTGTTCAAGGACTTATTTAACATATTTTGGAATGTTCAAGGACTTATTTAACATATTTTGGAATGTTCAAGGACTTATTTAACATGTTTTGGAAAGTCTAAGGACTTATTTGTTCCAAAAAAAAGTTCAAAGACTTAATCATTCCAAACAAGAAAGTTCATTGGTTTTTATTGTACTTTTCCCTTTAATAAATTAAAGAAACCCAAAAAATCGTAGCATATAATAAGAGGTAAAAAAAATTTAATAGATAATAAGGGCCCAAATCGAAATCAACCAGCATCTTTCTAAATCGAAATGTGGTGCTAACTGCTACGCTAAAGAAAATAAGTTGCGCTTCTCCATCAGCAATTGCTTTTGGCGTAGTGGTAAGCGCTTGGATCCTAACAACTTTTTTGATGAAGCTAGAGAGACAAAGCAAAATACAGTTCGAGAACCAAATTGAACAAGTGCATAAAGCATGTGTTCTTGGTTGACTATGACATATACTCACCATTGATGAGGTTTCTAATAAGCAGCGTAGGAAGAAAGATTTTGTATGTTCTTGTTTGAATGCAACATATACTCAACAACCATCGAAATTGACCTGTAATCGAAAACTATATCATATTAAAACTCTGGCTTAGTCCAAAAACATCAAAGGAGAAGATAAATAAATGTCAATTCCACCTTGTGCATATGGAATGCCCCTTGGATACGTCATTTCTATCATCTTGTATTAATGTTGTTGATCTTGCAAATATAATTTTTGTGTAGATCAAGTGTCCATTTTTGTAATCGTCCTTCAATTTATGAACCAAAAACATCGAATAATCTAAAGAAAAAGAAAATTAAAAAAAAACTAAATTATGAGAAGGCTTATGGACCTCTTCAATACGAGAAAGATTGAGTTGAAGCCTAATATTGATCCATGAAAGAAGCTCATTCCGATGTGGTATTAAAAAAACTCTAGAGATTTACATGATTTCCATAAAGACCAACACCAACACCATCCACATCAACATCACCAACGATTTATCTACTTGGTTCGAAGAAGAAAACGACGATTCATCACACCAAAATTTGATCGGAAACAGTAAACGTAGGTGGATTTCAAGGCGTTGGAACTCGTTGTGGTGTAAACTCTGACAATTTCATAGAGGTTTTTGGTTCGGGTTTGGGATGACGAGGGATGGACACGAGAAGTATTGCAACTGAATCCTTTCACCCTCTCTAACATTCTCCCATAGCACTCTTTTATTTTCTTCTAAATCCTCTCTCATTGCTCACACAGAAAGCTTACATATCTTTGCTTCGATGGAGGTCGCCATGGTGGGGGGATGTTAAACTGAGAAGCTTCTTGAATGTGGGGCAAGTTTGCCTCGGTGTCTGTGTGTAACAATATGCGAATATATATATTTCAAAATTAGTATATTAAACTAATTAAGGTAAATTGAATATTTAAGGGCCGTTTACCAAACACTTACCCGATAAATGCTTATCAGTAAAATTTAACAATACCACTTACTTACCGGGTAAGACTTTTGTCCACCAAAACGGTATTATATGCAACAATTTACCCAGTAAGCGCTTACCATGGTAAGAGTCGTCGCCCTGACTTAACGGGTAAGACTTTCGGTTATTGTCTCCCTCTTACCGGGTAAGATTCTTGGTCCTTACCATATTCATCCAGTAAGGTAATGTGACTTGGTAAGCGCTTACCTGGGTAAGCGTTTGGTAAACGGCTATCCTTCTACTTATTTTAAGAAATCATATTAATTATCCTAAATGATTAGTTCACATTGGATTTTATGATTACCACAAACTAAACAGTTCTATTTAATTAGTCTCATATATATATATATATAAATGTATATATATATATATATATATATATATATATAAATGTCGAATTACTAGAACACCTTTAACTTAGCAGAGCAATGATTAATAGAGTTAAAGTAAAGGACCTAATTCATAACAAAAGTGAAACCATGATGATTATATATGTAATTATTTCATTTAGAGGACCTAATCCAAAATTTTAAATAACAACAGGGACGAAATATGTAATTTACTCATTCCATAAACTAAACGTCACCTTAGAAGCAATAACTCCCAACACCCTATGCCTTAAAATAAATTTTGGGAAAAGGAAATCCTAGCTTTTAATAAATTGATGTTTAACAAAACAAGTCTTTGTGTCCATAACTAACGGACGTCCGTGAGTCTCTCTTGTGGAGTGAAATTTGCAACAATCAAGTTTCTACCAAGAATAGATTGTTTTGCAACTAAATAACAAATATCTAACTCGAAACAGAAAATATAAAAAAGTTTTTTTTATTCTTAAAAGTATAACTCAGTCTGGGTTCATCAATTGTTACATATACTATAGTAGTTTATACACACATTGCCTTCAAAAAGAATCGAATGTAATAGTACACAGATTAGTCTTTACAAACAAATGGCCTCCAACCCTCTATACATCTTTTCTTTTTGCGGAGAGAATTCTTCGTATCGTAAATCAAAGTCAACAATAGTCAAAACTCATCGTGGTTCAAAGCCACCTTCACGTAGCTGCAGACCCCTTTTCTGCAGATGCCTTTTCCATCTTCACCTGCACCAGCAGCAAGTTGGGATCACCATATGTTGTTTATCAAGAATCAAGATAAACAGTTTAGAGTTTATGGTTTAGGTTTCAGACTCCTTTCGTGCCACTTGTACCTTTTTCAAATACTTTTTGTGAAGTTTCATAGCCCCTGAGCAAGCTTTTCTAGCATCCAGGTTCCCTGAAGTGTCGTTCAATATCTGGAAAAAGAGAAAAATATAAACAAGACAACCAAACGAACCCAGTAAATCTCCGTGAAGACCCTGACTTGCAATACAAAAGTTACAAGAAGAAAAACGAAGACTAGTTGTACAGCAAACAGGTCACACAAAGTTGCACGAATAATTTGTTTTCTAGGAAATGAGAAGTTTTGACCTTGACAACATCGTCGAGCCCCTTGGCTTCTGTGAGCAATTTGACGCTTTTCTCCTTGAGGACGCTTGCAACGAGGAACACGGAAATAGGGAGCGGTTCTCCAACTTTGGCCCCACTTCGCAAGTATTCCCTTTCGAATTTGCCACATTGTTTTGACGATTTTGGTTTTCCTTTGGCATCTTCAGGTCTTTCAGAATCAGATTCCTCATACTGAGTGTACAAATCGGGATCATACTCCAACGCCCACATCATCTGTTCGAAAATCATTAATAAACTAGAAGAACCACAAACGCAAGATTCTTACAATATGAAACAAACCCAGTATATCCCACCCACAGGTAGGATCTGAGAAGGGTAGGATGTACATAGGTCTTGCCTCTGTTCTGTCTCAAGTGAGAGTTTGTTTCCGAGAAGACTCACAGCTAGCAAAAACAAATAGAAAGCAAAACTGAAAGCCATGGATACCTCCCATAAGTACAACGAATCACCAAAAGAAACTTCTCGTCGAAACAACACCATGAGCATCCTGAAGGCGAATAGATAATCACCGCCACCTAGGTGTTCTACATTCATAGACCATAACAAGGTCCTATCAGTTTACCATGTTTCTTAGGAAGGAAAAGAACATGTAAATCTTACCCCCATACTTCCGAAGCCCGGTCCAAAAAACCCCAGTTTTAGCAAGCCTAGGTCCAAAAAGCCTAATCAAGGCCTGATTAGATCCCGGTCTGAATTAAGTCTTGCCGTAAAACATTTTTACCCCTAAAGCCTGGCACGAGCTTCTTTTATTTACTCAGACCCTACCTCTGTATGAGATATACCGGGCTCGCTTAGTTTGGTTTTAGAAAAACACATAAACAATAAGTTATGAGAATGTACCCAAGTGAGCATGAAGTTTAGGATCAACAACTTGAATAACATTGGCTAGATTGCAGAGCTGCGATTCCACTCCCACAGAACTCCCTACGCATTTGAAATTCCCTCGCTTCAAACCCATAAAGAAATCACAATTTAACTTTTTGAATAACAAACCGAATTTCGTAACTTTAAGAATGATAATGCAACAGAGTACAAAGAAAACATGGATATTTTTACCAATCTGCGCATTAGACGTTCGAAGCACCAAAATGCATCTGCTTCGTCTTCAAGAAGCATAATCATGGGGGAACAAAGATCACTCATCCCTGTTTGGCGTGTTCATAAATTTACCATTTTGGAATCAGAATCTCACACAGAAAATATTTCAAAAGATTGTTGTTGAAGAGTAATATGAAATCAAGATCCACCTTGACCATAACCGACTTCTTTATCAAACCAAGCATAAACGGAAAGAACATCCCATAGTTTCGCTAAATTCTCCTGCTTCTCATAAAACACTAGTGTCCTGTCCGTGCGAACCACATCAAGACCTACCATAAATAGTAACCCAAAGATAAAAGACGACATGATAACCATAAAAGATGTTAAATTGACAGCTATTACATGCCTTGATGCAAAATCTTGAACCTAATAACACATACTTCCTTGGGCTATGTTTTGCAAAGTAGCTGAAAAGCTAGCTCATAAACTAGTCATGTTTGCTAAAAAACTAGTTGATAAGTAAGATGATGACGTAAAATGACCTAAACGGATATGTTGAAAAAATTAATAGGAAAAAATGGAAAAAGGCTCTTGGAGATCATTGATACTCTACTTAAAGTAGCATTTCAAAAAGCTAGTTAAAGTAACATTGCCTTAATAACCATCTTGTTTTGACTTATTGAAGACAAACATACTAGATCCCAGAATCAAAATCAACTTGAATTTTGTCATATTTTAGTGTAGCTCGATGTCGGAATCAAATTCTCATCAGAAACTAAACAAACCCGTATAATTTTCATGCTGAAAAATAGTCTGTCTGACCCCAAGAGTCAAGTCAAAACGGGATATTATGAAGAAGTGGAGAAAATATAATACAATGTCCTAATTCCATCAAAAAATTTGCGCGGTAAGATTCATTTATATATCAACCTATTTGATGTAGGGTAAGTTTCCATTGGATTATCTTCTTGTCTTCTTCCTTGGGACAACTTGTGGTTGAATTTGAAGCAACTGCAAGAAAGCAACTTCGGCATTAGTAACCATTTATATTACATCTGCTGTCACAAGAAAGAAAAGAAACAGTACCAGTTGCTTGATTTGTTGGTGTCATAAGATTTTCAGGGTTTGCTTCTAGAAGTACTACGGGATCTTGGGTTGCAACACCGTCTTCTGTGATCACAGGAGCGGTGATAAACTTGCCACTTCCAACAAGAGGGAACATATAAGTGCAAAGTTCTTTCAGCCGATAATACTCTTCCCTAAAATGATGAAAATATATATCAAATCTCTTTCATATGCCAATTGCCAAAAAAAACAATCTTGAACTCTAGGCGATTATGGTTCACACAATAAGCAGAGAACATGTAAAAGAACTCAAAAAGAATTTAGGCGATCATGGTATGTACGCAAATACCATGTTTGGCAACCATGAGCTAACTTAGTATTTGATTTTATTGAAAAATCTTCGTCTGGCCTTGAACTAGCTTTTTTACTTCAGATGTCTTGTTTGGGTTTTTTTCCAACTTATTTCCAATTATGCCCCTTATATTTTCCATCTAGGTCATTTACCTTATTATCATCTAGATTATCCGCTAGTTTTTACCAAACATGATTACTTTATTAGCCAATTGCTAGTTTATCGGCCAACAACTTGCTAGTTTCCCAAAGATAGCCAAAGTGGGTGGTTGTAAAGAAGAACTTTGAGAAATATATACTACCTTCTTGTTAGCCGTATCTCTTCTCGCTCCTCAGTTGTGCTCTTAGGATCAAAACAGCCGAGTAGAAATTCCCATACCTCTCCTCTAATTGTTGGATGTATCCCCTAATTCGTCCCCATAAAGAAAATGAAGTAAAATTTAAAGGAGGCTACATTTAAGTATCAAATGTAGTGCTACTCAAAGAACATTATGACTTGACAACTTGGCATCTACGTCATCAAATGTTACAAGATGAGCAGGTTACCGGTCAAAGTTGGATGCATTTTGCCCCATAAAAAATGCCAAGATGAAGCATGGTGAGCAATAATTTAGAACTTACTCCACGATAAATTCGACCAAGGGTTTGGCCTATATCAAGATATCCTTCTGGACTGAATGCAGACTGCCACTTCCGTACACTAAGGGTCTTCCCAGACTGGATAAACATATTAGGAATGACAAGATTCAATAACAACGTCAGTAAACCATCAAAAGATAAGAAAAGAGACATATTTTCAGTTTTTTTTATGTTATTTCATTTTTAATTAATTCGCATGAAATCGAAGATTCGCTTCAATCACACCCTATTATAAGTAAGGTATTTCGCTAGTTAGAATTATTTTTGGATTTTGAAAATTTGTATGAACCTGCCAAAAATAGAACCTTTCTATATGAAATACCGTTTTGTAAGCTTCGAAAGTAATCAGAAATATAAAATATTATCACTAAGAGTGCATGTCCCGTTTGTATGTACTTCAAGTTCCATCCTACATCAAAAAGGCAAAGAGGCATCGTGCTACTTTCTGAAGAGGTCCAAAACAGGGTACATTTCCATTTCTTACCACTAACAGTAAGAAATCTAAACAACTTTTACGCAACTACCATATTTGCATAGCTTGTAACATCCTAAACCGAATGCTTAAGCTCCCTAAACTTTTACATAGTTGCTTTTATTTCTTGAAAACTCGACTCAAAAGAGCTATTACTTAAAAAAAATCTTCTACAAGTTAATGTCTTGTTAAATATTCTAAAAGAATGTATCCATACTCAATCTACAAATTACCATGTGCTCGATTTTTAAATTGCACCAACCTCACCAAGTCATTTAAAAACTGAAACTTTCTAAACCAGACTAAGGGGTTGTTATGGTTTTCCATCAAGTCCATGATGGATAAAATTGTCTGTGTGAATTAATTTGTCTGTATAGATCGAGAAAGTTGTTAGATAGGGATTTTTCATATATGAATGGAATGCGTTCTAATCGGGAGGGCGATTCTGGAAGAAAATAACTTGACTTTCTGCATAAAGCAACCCTTAGAAGCTTACCAAATAAGCCACTTTTTATATCATTAAGCCACCACCAAAAAGTCGTGTGTAGCTTACCGGATAAGCTCCTAGTCCCATTAAGCTGCTAATAAACGGCCCTAACTCAATATATCCCACTAGGGTCTTGGAGGTTATGCAGGCAGGCCAGACCTCTAGGCATCTATAATCAGGCCGAAAGTACGTTTACAGATTGACACACCCAAATTCGTAAGTTAAAAAGCCGGATTACCATTAGAAGTTTTGATTCCACATCTCTTTATAGTGCTAATATCATATAAAATAGCTCTCCACTCATCCACACACAAACAAAAACCACCAAATTAGATGATGCCTGAATTGTAGCTAGAATTATGTAGTTTCTTTCCTAACAAGGACAAGATGGTAGTTTAGATTTCTAATGTTTCCAAATATATAAAAATATCCAACAAAAAGATGATTATTAAACACTAAAGCAAAAAGCCAAAAAGGGAACCCAAAAGTTGAACAACTTTAGGAAACAATCAATCAGGTTACAAAATTGATTATATGTGATTCTTGAAACAAAAGAGAGGGATTTTTACCTTAATTTTAAACTTGGTTTTAGGAACATCGGTGCATTCAGCTCGAACCTCATAGAATGAATCGGTCGGAAGTCCTGGATCTTTCCACAAAATATTCATCCTCTTTTGCTAACTTTTTCTTTAAGATGAACACTAGATTTTTGAGATTTGCTTTTCTACAAAACACCAAATCAAAGCAATTGGTACAAGAATGGTACACCCCCAACCCTAAAACACCTGAAGGAACAAAACCCAGATGAGATCTTGACGTAGATTTCCAAAGAAACGAACTTTTCTTTTTCTATTTCAATTATGGGGATTTTGGGTATGTCATTTTCAGTGGAGTCGGGCATCTGTTCTTTTTTTCTTGACGGAGGAGGCGCAGTTCCTGATCTGCTAAAACTTCCTCCGAGGACAACATCATTATTCTGAAATACGAATGGCGTTGAATTCTTGTTCCATAATTGCAAAATCTTGGTTCTTTGTGGAGCGCAAAAGACGTGAGAATGTGGGATCGAAGAATGTGAGGTCCGGCTGCCATGTTTTACGAGGACTCGTTCGTATCATTGTTACTAAATATAAAAATAAAATGATGGGAGGGATTAATGACAACGTTAAAGACAAACAAGCTTTATTCGCATCAATTTTCAAAGCAAATTTTCAGATTGTATGCCCTTGTGTAGGATCTCAAATGTTATAAAAATATGCCCATCTTTCAATTTTGAAGTATATACGATAGAAACTATTAATATTGCATTTTTTTTAAAGATGTGTAGAAGTCTGAAGTCTGATTTTACTTCTGATCTTTAAGAGGTGGTACCGAAGTCTGAAATCTAAATCAGTCAGATTGTTTCTTTTTACGTTTGAAATCTGAATTAGTCAGACTGTTTGTTTTTACGTATGAAGTCTGAAATCTGAATCAATTCATTTCTATTAAGTTCAACTGAAATATCCAATCATTTAAACCATTTGTAAACTATCATCTATTTTTAACGCATTAAAAAATTCAACTAAAATATGTCAATTGATTCAACAGACAATAGAAAACACGAACAAAGTCTCGTAACAATTAGAATCAATATTCATTTTGCATTAATTGTGTCGCAATTTCTTCTCTTAAACTAACCATATATGTTTGGTCAGCGACACTTCTATGCGATTGAACCTCTTCAGCCTCATCCTCGTCATCGTTCCCTTGCTCGTTGGTTTGATCATACTCAGAAAATAACTCATCACTTAAGCCTTCCTTTCCTATGAAGTTGTGAACCGCAAAACATGCAATAACGTCTCTTTGAACCTAAAGTGTAAATGGTGTCATTCTTTTCAATATCAGAAAACGTGCTTTCAGGACACCATAAGAACGTTCAATAACATTTCTATGTTTTTTCATGGGAATGATTAAACTCTTCATACTTGTTCATTGCTCGTCGACGACGAAAATCTCCGAGCCAAATATTTAACATTACGATACAACGCCATAAATCCTCGAGTATTTGTATACGCATCATCACATAGATAATATTTATCTGAAAACAATAAATAAAATGTGTGTTCAAATGAATATAGTAAATATATTACCTGTGAAATCAGTAGTATACTTGAAGGAGGAAATGAAAATCCAATAGCACAATCTATTAAAACTTCGGACAAAGCTCTAGAATCATGTGCAATTCATTCTCATCCGGCAACAACAAATGTAGAAACCATGTTGAAATCACAAATTGCCAAAACATTTTGATAACATTCATCATTTCCTCGTCCTCTATATATATGTTGTTCTTGAATAGAGACGATAGCATGTATTAAAGTTCCATCCAGGGTGCCAATTGTTCCCTATATTAGCTAATAGTTAAAATAAATTTAGTAAGGAAAGTTATACAACTATTATCGAATTATTATTTATTCGTCATAACCTCCTATAATTCCCAGGAATGTCCGGACTAGGATTGAATGATAGAGGAACTATAATCTCTTTTGCAAACTCCATCATTTTACCCAACACTTCATGAAATTTTTTATGAATTGTTTGTGTTTTTCAACACTCTATAACGTTGATTGTGACATATAATCATCAGGAAGATAGCCATCTTCTCTTCGACCAATATATGTTTGTTATCCATTAACCAACCTTTTGCTTTAAATTGATCACCTAGTCGAATGAAAGCTACACGGGACATTCGCAACAACTCAATACATTGTCAATCACTACCTTCAAGTAGTCATCCGTAAATTGACGTTCAGTTATTGCAGACATATGATCTCTTTTCCTTTTCAAACACCTTTGTCACAAGTAGAACATGAAGAAAAGTATAAGTCCCTGTTGGATTTCAAACGTCTCCATCAATGGACGAATGAAAGATAGTGGAATGATCATCTCCATGGTCATCACTAGAGACAACCTTGAAGCGGTCACTGAATATCCTTCATATCTTGGACTAAATAGCTATGACGAATGGCTAGAAATTTGTCAAGCCATCCAACGCTCAAAATCCAAGAACCAGCCTATTATCGAAGACATTCTAAACGATCTTATCAAGAAGGTGTCTAGGTATGTTGTCGTTCCTCCAGTGCTAGAGCTGTTGCCCAAGCGAAGAATAAATCCTTCAGATCCTAATGATGGACCTATTCTAAGAAATGAACATGAAACTAATTTCTCCTTAGATGAAATCCTGAAGGACTCGAAGAAGCCAGATATCTCTATGTTGAACCTCACTCTGCCAGTGAAGGGTCCTTATATACCCAACACTGTGCATTACAAGCCTGAGTATGGATTAATATTCATCGACTATGACGACGAGTACAACTTCCAAAGAGTATTCGAGTTTCCTTTTTATCTAATAACACACCTTGAATATCTTAGAACATAATTGGACAACGACTTACCTGGTGAGACGATGAACCACAGGATCAGAAAGGAATATCTACGTCGAAAGAAGCTAGGAGAAAAAGTACCAGGGTACATCAACTTCAGCGACCTAGAATAGTTAAAACTTTCTATCTTGTTTTCTTTTTCGTTACTTTCAATGTACAACTACATGTAATAGGTATAGAAATCACTTATGTAACACTTGTACTTTTCCAATGAATAATATAAGTACTTCTTCAGTGCCACTGAAAAATATCCCTGAAAAGAGTAATAGCGACAAGTATCTATGAGTTCCAGTTTACTCTTCCATTCACTGACAATTTTAGTCAGTGAATAAGCTTTTAGTTTTAGTTATCAAACTTGTATTTGTTTCCATTAAACTTGTAATCTTTTACAAACTTAAGTAAACTTATGTAAGAAAACTGTATCACTGAAAAAGATCTCAAAATAGTTAAAAGACATTTGTCCTTTACTCACACCTTTTCCTTACTATTATAACTTAGGCAATTTTTTTATGTTGCTTTGTCATCATCAAATAGCGGGAGTTTGTTGATCCTCTCTCATTGATTTGATGATAATCCTCTTTACTTATCCAAATATAGTGTTTTTGTTTATTCAGTTTCAGCGATCATCACTGAGTCTGTTCAGTGACCGCTGAACACCTATTGTAACTTCTTTAGAAACTGTTATACTTCAAGAAGACAAAACTCACACCAAAGAACCTTCAGCAATGTCGAAGACAGAGACTAAAGATTAGAGACTAGCGCGTTCATGATCTGAACCGACATTCAGTGATTACAAGCTCGTCTACATATGTGTGAAGACTGTATAAGTTTCAGCAAATGCTGAAGAGACCTCCAACATAATCCTAGCATTCAACGATCAAATGAAGCTTACCATGCATGATTGTTTTTGTCTTGTCCTGCCACACACTAAGGATAAACCCATACCTTTTATAAAGTATAGTACAGTATGGAGCCACTCAGTTAACTCTATTGTGCTTACCTACTTTATGAAAAGATGACTGCTCATGAACAGGGACAAACTTTCCTCCAAAAGCTTGACAAAGATTTGTACTTTCTGAATTATATTTAATGTAATGGCTATAAATAGTTGAGTGCTCTCCACTCAGTTATAACTTCATAACTCTTTGTCTCTAAGAAACTTACCCAAGAAATTACTTCTCTCAGTATTCTATCTCTAAAGAGAAAGAACCACTTGGAACAAGTGAAGAACACTTTTCTAAGTCTTTATTTCTTGCAACAAGTATTTTCTCTTTGCTAAGTGTAATATTGTTTATCCTTAGATTGTTTAGATAGGTTTCTTTACCTTATCTCTTCCGCAAAAAATTTGTAAAATTTGTATTGATCCTTATTTATCAATATATAATTTTTAATAGTGAAAGTTTTTGTGTTTGTATTCATACCCCCCTTTCTACAAACTGATTATCTATAACTCTTGTAGATCCGACTGAGACCAACAATATCTTTCTCTCTAAGGTATGTTACTTATCTCTTCTTTTCTCAAAACTCAAAACTATCATTGAACACTTTCATTATTCAGTGATCAAAATATTTTAAAAGAAAAAGGACAATGAACGTTCATATTTTTTGACGTCATTAAAATTTTTATTGGACTAATTTCACATGTGTCCTTCTGACACATGTTTTTCCATTTCTTTTCTACCCAATCGCAATAAAATGACGTGCAAAGAAATCATTATTGCACATCTTTTTGAAGCGTCATTTTCCTCTCTCCTCTTTATCTCTCTTCTCACCTATAAATACCTCTCTTACCCTCTCATTTTTCCTTATGCGAACATTTTCATACATATAACTCTCTCTCTGTTATTGTGTGCAAGTAAGAACTCTCAAAAACCCTCCAAACCATATTTCCTTTCTTCTTTCCTAAAACATGTTTGTTATTCTCATCTTTTTGGCTGTTAATCTTTTATGAAATTTTTTTGATATTTAAAAATATTCTTTCTTCCTTTTAAATACAAGAAATAGGTTAAATAAACTTTTCTTCTTCTTGATTTATTTTAACTAAAGTTTCTAAAATCTTCTTGAAAGCACTAATTTCTTCTGGTTTTTCGAAAGAAAGTTTTATCCTTACAACCTTTGTTCCAAGGTGCTTTCTAACACAATCGTGTGAATGATTACATTTCTTACTTTTCTTGTTACAAAAATGGCTGCTGCTTTGAATGTGAACTTTGTTCTTGAAAACTGCTCCTTCAAACCCAACAATCACGTTGTACTACTGGAAATCCCTACAGACAAACCCTAGTTTGTGGATGCTGCTTCATTCCTCAAGAACTTCATTCTAGAATATTCTCTCACCTTCCAACCTATAATACTGAAAGATATCCTGAGACAGTTCTGGTACACTACAGAAGCAAAGACCCTAAAAGACAAGGATGGAAACTCGGTCGTCAAGATCACTTGTGAGATCAACAATGTGACAGTCAGTTTTGGCTTCTCCATGTTTAGGACTGCTCTCCGTCTTCTAAAATCCACTTCCTACTCCAGCGATCCAGACAGTGACTATATCATCAAATTTCTGGACGATATCCACTATGACTGGCCACCGAAGAAAGACTCTAACTCAGAGGTCAACAAGTCTCTGACCAA